GGGGTCGCTCCCTGGCCGGGGGCTGAACTGGTGCTGAAGGGCTTTGGCTTCTCAGTGCTGCGCTTAGCTTCTGCGCCCCAGGGAGGCCCCGCGGGTATTTTATAACACGCAGGCGCTGCAGCGGCTTCTGTGCATGTTCTGGCCGAGACTGATTCGGAGGCGGGGAGACCGCGGGGCTCCCCGAGGTCCCGCAGGGGGTGTCCGCAGAGCCCGGTCCCCGGGCCACGGGTCTTCTTTCCACGGCCGCCTCTCCTGGCTCACGCGTGTGACCGGAGCTAAAAGGCCTCAGGTTTAACGCTCCAGAGGAGGTTCTACTTGGTGAGGCCAAGCTAAACACCCGCGTGGCCTCGTCAGGCAAAGGCAGCTGGTCGGGGCTGACCGTCAGGTCAGGCTGCCAGGCGGGCCCACGCTGGGTGGGGCAGCCTGTGCTGCCCGAGGCCGGGCCCCCGGACCCCCTCACCCGCGAGACTGCGGCCGGCTCTCGGCAGCGAGGCTGCAAACATTAAAAAAACACAAAATGGGACTATGTGCTTCCTGAGCCAAACTTGGGGGCAAGAAAGAACAGAAATCATCACTGTTGCCCACACTATGACCACTGTACCTACACCCAACGGCAAGGCCCCGGCATTCCCTCCTTCCCTGGTAAGACGCCCCAGGTCACGGGCCGCAGCTCGAGCTTCTGCCTGGCCAGGCCTGGGGTCGAGCCCCTGCTCTAGCTCGCTGTGGCTCCTTCCAAGGGCCACTGGCCGGGGCGATTCTGAGCTGCGGCTTCTGGAAAAGCAAAGGGGGTCTTGGACTCCTGCCGCAGCTGGCTGTGAGCGTCGATCGGACTCTGCCTTCTGGAAGGCGAGGCGGCCCACGCGGGAGGGAGGCAGCGGCTAGACCCGACCCCACCTTCGTGCCGTATTTATTCCTCCCGCAGCCCCAAAACATTCCTGGTTCTCTCGAGCTTTTCATGTCACACGTGGACACAGAGACAGCAAAGGGTCAATGGAGATGGACAACGGTCACTGTAGGAGTGGTCTGTGGTGGAACCTCCGGCTGTTACTCGTAAGACCAATCGGAATTCAGCAATGGAGGAGAAAAAGCACTCGAAGGAAAAGCTACTGGAGTTTGTCTCGCTCATAACGTTGGATTTTTACATGGAAACATAAAGGCCCCAGGATTTTGGTGCAGGAAGTTGAGCTTGCACTGAGCAGAGCCCCTGTAGGCTGCGCCCGGGAGGGGGTCACTGGCTCCGGGTCGACTCACCTGGAAAACAGGTGTGCTGCCTGTCAGCCCTGCCTACCTGCCTGCCTCCCCTTAAGATGGAATAAGATTACACGTAGGAAGCCGGCTCGTCACGGGAAGTCAGGGATTGCATGACAAGATGGAGCTCCATCAGTTCAAGCTGTGAAACAGTAAGTCCCTACACGGGTAGGCACACGCGTCCGCTACCTGCGTTGGCGGGATGACAGTGCCGACCAGATGGGATGGTCCTGAGGATTTCACGAGGCCGCGTATGAAGTGACTACGGAATACCTGGCTGCCACGTCTTGGTCCCCACAACGCTGTGACCATGGGATCAGAAGTACTGAGCCACATAAATGAGCCACGGTCTGCACGTGTCGCACGCGAATGTAAATGCAGTTTGCGACATTCTAAGGTGCTCTGCACTTCCAGCTGAACAGGACTGGGTCAGGCCCACCGGAGAGCTGAACGCTGGCCAGCCACGACGGCCACTGTCATTACTGCGGGAAGGAACTTGGCCATCTATGGTCGGGGGTGAAGAACACAAAGCCTCACACATGAATGATTGATTCTTTTCAATGAAACATTGTTTGGAAAAAGCTTCAAGTGCCCTGGGCCTTGAGCTCTGTTTCAATACACCTGTGAGCGGACTGTGGAAGCCAAACGACCGCAATGTGGGTGAGGGACTGACCTCCTTCTGCAGAGCAGATGACCACAATCTGGCTGAAGGGCCCATCCCCTTTATTGTTGTAGACTCCAACCTTCACTTCAAAGGGCGTGAGCGGGGGGACGCTTTCGTCCCGGTAGATGAACTTGGAGGCCTCAGAGGACGTCACCATCTTCTCCTTCCAGCCTCGGGTGCCATTGGGCCGGAAGGCCACTATGTAGCCGAAGCCTTCCCCATTCTGGAACTCTTCAGATACTGGCTGAAGGAGAAGACACAGTGAATTACAGGAACATAACTGGCTTCCAAACCTTTACTACACAAGAATGACGAACTGGAGCGTAGAAGCACCTCAAGTCTTTGCATGCCCCCCCTCCCGCCCCATCAACCTGCCCCTTCACTTAGAAGTCTCTGGAAGCTTCAAAATGATGAGAGATTAACTAGTATCGAGTGGTATTTAAAGAAAGTATCAAGATTTGAGGGAAATGGATTTGCCCAGGACGTCCCGTCTAAAAAGTGCAGGTGCGTGGGTTCTGTGCTGGAATTTTCCAGGTTGGGGGGCAGCGCGTGGTCTGGACGTCAGGGAAGTCGGCCCCTGGATTTGCAGCTACCCAGCTACACAGAGCAGTTAGCAGATGACGCAAGTCGCGGCACCCCGGGCTTCTGCGCCTGCCAGGACACACCTGGGCTGTGGTATTTGCACCAACACTTGGTGCTCTGGCCCAGAGGGTGAGGCACCAGGCGTTGGTTGTTTACCAGCTGCTCAGCCTACGGCACTTCTGTTCCAGGCCCACGACTCAAGGCTGAAGGGCGGGGGAAACCCCAAGCAGAGAAGCTGCATCACAGCAAAGGTCAAATACTGGGGGGCTCAGGCTGCCGCACGATTACAACTGAGACACATTTATGGAAAGAGGGGGGGCTGGCAAGAAGAGGAGGTCCGAGGATGGGCTCCAGGGGGGTTCTGACTAGGGAAGGTTTCTTCCAGAATATTTTCTCATTCCTCTCAGCGACTGTCAGGGAGTTCTTCTGTTTGCTACCTCAGACATCTCTACTCCCACGCTCTAACGCGTCCTCTCGCACTGAACAACAGGGGTGAACCACGATGAGAGGGGAGCAGGTTCCGGGAAGACCCTCCCTTCCCTCGCTTTCCCCCGGCAGAGGAAACTCCAGGACGCCAGTGCTCGCTGTTGAAGGGCCAGCGGCCTGCCTTCAGAGAGGCCTCCGCGCTGCCTCAGGCTGCCAGGGAGCAGGAGACCGACCCAGGGGCAGGATCCCCTCAGGCCGAGCGCGACAGCCAGGCACGGCTCTGCGAACTCAGAGTGGGGACCCCGCCCCCGGGGCTTCAGCTCCAGAGCGGCCACTTAGTTGTGAGATAATTAAATATTAACCGCAACTACCTCAAGTAGTTTGTGAGAGGAATCGCTTCAGGCCCGAGAGGACCAGCGTGACAGGAAGTCAGCCTGGCCCTCGCGCACGTAGCGAGGAGCAGCGCGAGGAGGGTCACGCTGCAGCCGTCACCGCGAGGCCAGGGCGTGTGACGCCTCCTGACCCGGGGAGATGGACGCCGCGTCCTCGCCGCGCCACGCGGTGCCCACGGGCAGCCGGAGCGACACGGCCGGCTTCGGGGTGAGCGAGCCTCTTACCTCCCAGGCGATGACCAGCTCGTGCCTCCTTCCACTCCGCCCACTGACGCTGGTGGGGGCCGTCTTTGGAACTGTGGGGAGAAGGCAGCTGAGAGTGAGGCCAGTGAGCAGAGGTGGGCGTTCGTGTCCTCACACGCCACGGTTAGCCCTGCTGGGGTGGGTGAGACCCTCAAGTAAGCAAACGAGTGTGAAGTCGCAATGGACGTATTCAGTGTTCAACCAGAATGCCTGTGGCATTCTCCGCTTTCAAATCTGCGATGGAGTTTACGTGTAGACATGACGTTCACACAGACACGCACATGTGTTACCACGACCATGGCCTACGTCTCTTGCAACTAACCGGACTGTGGGAGTGTGGGAGTAAGGCCTGAATGATAGGAAACACGACAGACCAGGCAACGGGCGGTCCAATTTCCTCTGACAAATTTCCTCCTTCTTTGACTCTTTCCTGTGGTCCCAGGACTAGCGGAGACCCCGAAAATCCCCGATGGACAACAGCCTTACTGCTGTACCCAGAACTCTGAGGAGCTCCAGTTCAAATAAATCTTTGCAGCAGGCCCCAGAGGAACTATTGAAATGACTACACATTAAAAAAAAAATAATGCACAAAACTATCAAGAATAATCTCTCTGCAAAATGCAAAATCCACAGGCACTCCGTGAAACTTTTCAAATGAATAACTATTAAAAGAATAAATGTGTCAAAAGAATACATTTCCCCTTCGCTGCACCAAATCACAAAATCTGTAGTTTAAAGGGAACATTTTCAAATGAAGAACTGTTAAATGGAGAAAACTATTAAAAGAAATCATTTTCCAGGCTATGAGCCTGCATTAGCAATTCTACACTGCAGCCTTGCCTCCTACCCAGCATAGAGTCTTAAACGCCATTGATATACTCATAAACAATAACCCAGCTCCCATACATTACCTACCTGGATGAAAGGCCATTAATTACCGGAAGACATTCACACAGCCTTTTAAACACCAGGAAACGGGCGGGGAATGCATATTACTAGAAAGGGAAGAAAGTTTTTTTTTTGCACCAGAGAGGTGGGAGAGAAAACACAGCGGCGATCTAACTGGCTCCACTGAAGTCAAAGGCCTCTTCCCGGCGAGGCCCGTAGCCAGTGCTCTGGGCTTCCGTCCCTGAGCGCGTCCTCACGCTCCCGCTCCCGCTCCTGCAGAGGGAGGTGCACAGGGCTTTCTTCTCTCAGAGTCACGCACAACTCAGAACTATGCGGCGTTGGATAGCTCTGGCCTCGTTCAAAAACCTCCGAGCAGGCCCTCCCTGAGGTGCAGCGGGTTAAAGCGCAGCACTGAGAAGCCAAATGGCCACTTCAGCATGAGTTTGATCCCCGCCCCAGGGCTGACCCCAGGGCACAACAGCCCTCTCCAGGCCCGCCCGCTGCTCCCCTCAGCAGTGGACTTCATCGATCTGCCCATTCTGCTCCCCGCTGTCTCTGGTGAAGCCTCTCACCGCCCCTGCGCCTCTGGCCTGTACCCCAGTTCTGTGTGCACAAATAAATAAATCTTAAAACAAAAACAAAAAACAAAAACAAACTTCCGAGCAATTCATCTGAGGAAAAACGTGGCACTAGAGCAGGAACTCTGAGCTCGCCCTGTTTACAAATGGCTCAGGCAAGTCCATCACTTACGAGTGCGAGCTGTTTACCGGCGCCCAGCTCTGGCCAGGCAACCACCTGGGACTCCCTGTGCCTCAGCACCCGCGGTGTGGGTGGCCGGGCACACCTGTCCCGGGGAGGGGGCGGCTCACACGGTGGGGGCCGGGGAGCGCTTTACCTGGACGTGTAAAAGGCCAGGAGAGTCCCTCAGTGACTAATTCCTAACTTCTGAAGACCGTGACCGCCCACCCATGGACACACACGCAGTGGGAGCAGTCAGTTTGCTGGTCTGTGCCACGGTGGCTTCTTTTGGTGACTTCTGGTTGCTAAATGAAGCGTGTGTCCCCCGCGAGCGTCACGGTCAGCTGGCAGTCACGTCACCTGTGAACAGGCTGGCAGAGGTCTCCGTGACCTTCACGTTGGAGTAAGCGCTGTCACAGCCACGGCAGGCGCCGGATCCTCTCCTTGGGGACACCGTCCCCTGGTGGTGGGCTCTGCGGGCCACCCGCTGAGCAGCTCTGTCCCTCCGCGCTCCTCAGACATCCCTCGAGAAGAGGCGTCGCGGCTCTGGAGCGTGGCGGGAGGAGCTGGGGCTGGCTGGGCGTGACGCGGGGCTTGTTGGAAAGGAGGTGACCGAGGCCAGACCCCCGGGCGTCGCGTTGGCAGTATCGTTCCCCAGTCCAGTAACCCATACTTGGATTTCCCAAAGGTGTCGTTTTTGAGTAAAAAAATTAAAAGAAACTGGTGGGCGCTGCCTGGTGGTGCAGTGGTCAAGGCGCAGCACGGCTCAGCTGGCCACAGTCCCTTCGGCACAGGAGGGACCCCAGGGCGCCGCGGACCCCTCCTGTCTCCCCGCTGCTCCCTCAGCAGTGGGGTTCAGGGGATCCGCCTGCTCTGCTCCCCACTCTGTCTCTGGGGAGTCCGCTCATCCCCCGCACGTCTGGTCTGCGCCCAGCTCTTGTGTGCATAAATAGATACATCTTAAAAAAAAAATGGTAAACATTTCAGTGAAAAATTTCCTTTCAGAAATTAATGAAAACAAAATAAGACTTTCTACGGGCCTGACCTGTTTCTGTTGGGGCAATTTCCTTGTCAAATTATCCACAAATAATCCAGATTCTGTAGAATTCCTGGTATTACTTGAATTAGTTTATAATTCTGTAGAATTTCTTTCATCGTTTGAGGTTTTCCCATTGCAGCATTTTTTTTTAAATGACAGTCCATATTTGACTTACAGAAATAAATCTTCCTTTTTTCATCATGCCGCAAAGTTTAATGCACAGTAAATGATACAGAAAGAACTGCTGTGATTCACTGTGTTTTAACGGTCTGTGTGTATGAAGCACCGACTGTTATAAAATTTAAAGAAAACACTAGATACAAAAGGTGCTACAAATAGAAAACTTGAGGTTTGGAAGACGTGCAAGCAGCCCAACTGTCCATCAAGGAACGCGTGGATACAGACAAGACATGCAATGCGGACTCACTCTGAGACGCTGGCCGCGGTCGCAAGCAAGAAATCACGGCAAAGTGAGTCACGCCCAACTGCTCCCCTCAGTATGCGTGCGAATTACGTTTCTCTAGACTGTGACCCACCGACAAGACGGTGCAACAGCTTCGTGTCTAGCAAAACGTGCAGCCTTACTTTCAAAAGACTTGACCGCTAAAACCACCAGCCATCATCTGAAACTTTCACGAATCAAACAGAACTTTGACGTCTTGTTACCGGGCTGTCGTGGCCGATGTCCGGGCTGCTGGATGGGCCGTGCGAGGCCCCGGAGGGGGGTGGCGGTGCGGCTACCGGGGAGACGGGAGGGCCGGCGCTGCTGCCCGCTGCCTTCCACGACAGGTGTTTCTGCAGCGTGGGGCCCTGTACTGCAGCTGAGCTTCTTCCCAAATCGGGGTTCATTCTCCCGACGCTCACTGCCGCGTTCATGAAGTCAGCGCCGCGTTCCAGATCCCGCACTGTCATCTCGACAAGGCTCACAGCAGCTCGCAAGGAGGCTGCGCCCCTGGTCATGCCTGCAGAGCGATTCCTCACTCCTCCCAGTGTCACTGGGGGCTGCACCAAGTGCATCACGCCTTCAGTCTCGGCTTCTAGCTCGAGTTCTCCTCTCCTCCCCCGCACCTGCAGCTACCTCCCCCACGACCCTGAGCCCCTCCAAGGGGCGACCGGGATCAGCGTTTTCCAAACTCCCGTTAATAGTGACCGCTGACGGCCGCCCACGTCATCAGCGGTACTTAGGATGGGGAATTCTCTTCCATGAGGGATTCAGTTTACTTGCCCAGATCTGCAGAGAGGAATCACAGTCTGCGACACACAAATGTTTCTAAACAATAGGGGCTGAGGGTCAGAGGGGGGCTGAGGGTCAGAAGAAGCCCTCGGCCAAGGACTCGCGCGGCCACTGTGCCTGCAGGTGCGCACCAGCGGCGTCCTCCCTCTGCTGGCCCCGAGGCCTCGAGCAGGCGCTGGCCAGTGGCAATGGTGTTTTCAAGGACTGTCTGTCTCTCGCTCTCTTTTTTACCAGAGGGTCAACAATGAGCTTAAAATATTCAGTAAGATGCTGTAAACGCGTGTTCTTATCCAGACCTCATGGATCCGTTTACAGATTTAGCCTATTCTCCGGGCTGCAAGACTTTCAGGGTGGGGGCCAGCTTCGGCGTCCACCGACACTCAGCGGCTGGAGTCAGCTTCTCCTCCGAAGTCTTGAAGTTTTTTTTTAATTTATTTATTGATGCATACAGAACTGGGGTGCAGGCCAGAGGTGTGGGGGCGGTGAGAAGACTCACCAGAGACAGAGCGGGGAGCAGGACAGGCCGACTGACTGCTGAGGGGAGCAGCGGGCGGTCAGGAGAGGTCTGCCACGCCCTGTGGTCACCTCCGGGGCAGGCGGGGATCGAACTCGTGCGGAAGAGGCTTTAGCTTCTCAGTGCTGCTCTTTAACATGGGGGGCTCTCAGGGAGGGCCCCGAAGTCTTGAAGTTTTAAAGTCAGTTACTGGCTTTTCTTCAGCTTGGAGAGGTCTAGATGGCATCTTCTTCCGGCACAAAGCTGTGCGGTCTGGAAGCTGCTGCTCCGTGCAGCGCCGCGGCCGTGATCCAGAGCTTCCGGGAAAGAGGCGGCAGCGTCGGCAGCGGCACCTGGGCCCTGCACCGCTGTGGAAGACCCTTGAGCCGCACAGCCAACCTCCGCTGGCTTCCTCCTCCTGCCGCTTCCTCCTCTCTCTCGGCCTGGAATACAGGCCTTGCTCTGTGCTAGACGTGGGCTGAGGGGGCTGCTGGGGCTGGTTTGGGCTCTTCAGAACACTAACACTTTCGCCAATCAGAAATAAAACGGTTTGGCCATCCCAGCGTTTGTGAGCCCGCGGGGGCTGCACCGTAACTTCGTTCAAGGACATTTCCTTTGCACTTACACCTTGGCTAAGTGCTCGGCGGCGCGAGAGGCCTACCTAGCTTTTGGGCCGGCGTGGCTTTGGGAAGCTGGATTGTTTCTAGTTGTTGATCTGAGGAGAGAAAATCTTGACTAATTTTGATAGTGTGGCTCCAGGCAAGGGGGGGGATAGGAAGGAGGGAGGGCTGAGGAGAATGTGAGAAGGGACACGCCAATCTCTGCAGCGGTGAGAACATACATTATCCGCCAGGTCTCCATCCACTTGGGTGCACTCTGTGGCACCCCAAAGCAAAGGCGTCAGTAACGTCAATGACAGACCAGCACAACCTGATGGAGAGACTCGAACTATTGCAAGAATAGCCAGACTGTGGCTCAGACACCCACAGGGAGCACATGCAGGACACGGCGCCGGCAGAGCTCTGGGCACAGTCGCCACAAGCCTTCAGGCCCCCACACATACTCTGGAAGCGCCAGAGCACACAGCAACACGAGCAGGGGTGTCCGCGTAGAGTCGCAGGCTGAGCGCCTTCACCTGGCTCTCACCTGGCTCAGCGCTGCCGCGGCACCATCGCAGGAAGCTGCAAGAACCACCCGCCAACATAAAGGGAAGCAGCGTCAACGGAGGTGACGCAGGCGTGTGCTCTGGGCCGCGGACCCTGTGCTTGACTCGGGGAGTCCGTCTCACTGGCTTAAAATTCCTAATTCCAGGCAGATGATCCTTGGCACCTAAGCGCACTCGTTTGCTTTTCAGTCGGTGGCACACGGCTATTAGTTTTGCAGGCAAAGCTCTGGGCTCCACCGACTTTAATTATTCTCTTTTATTTATCAAACAACCGATTTTTGCTACGTAGGGATTTGACTTAATTTCTCAGAGCCCTTCCGGTGTAAAAGTCCTGTTCATTCTTGTTCGAAGCATAAAACTAATACGCTCAAGCCCCTAATAAATGTTTCCATTGAGTTCACAGAAATACATGTTTACTTTAACCGAATATATTTTCGGGATCATTATGAAAACCCGATTTAGAATTAAGCAGCTCCATGCGTTTCTCCCTTCGCCAGCTAGTGAGAAATGTCATGAGCTGATCAGCTCAGGGAATCAAGCTGCTGCCCGTGCTGAGCAGGTTGAACTGCGCGTCCCGGTGTTTCTGAGCAACGTCCACGCGAGTGACCACGCGGTCACTGTTTTGTCCACAAGCGGCGAAATGCCCAGCTGCTGTGCGGACCGGCTGGCAGAGGCTGTGCGGCTCCTGTCCCTGTCGCCGTGTCCTCGGGAGATGCTCCTGCAAACACGCCAGAGACGCGCTGCGCACACTCCTCGGGGCCGCCGGCCTGCCCGCCCGCCCGCGCGGGCGTGCTCGGTGTCGGGCGCTCAGGGTGGCGGCGTGAGCGGACACAGCCCCAACGCCAGCTCCACCCGCGCGCAGCTGGACAGGGCAGGGTGATGTCACTTGCCGGTTTCTCTTAGCCGCTCCTTGAGCTATGTCTAAGGTCTGTGGCAGGAGCTGTTACTAGCTCAGAGATCAAAGAGCGTTCGGAGAGGCCTGCGGAAGGCCCTGTAAGTTAGGGGCGGGAGGGTGACCCAGCAGCTGGTTTGGAAAGAGAGGTGCGGGGCACCGGAAGGGGGGGCTGCTGAGAGCGAGGAGGCAGCTCTGAGAGCCTTTCCTTCCTGCTTAGCTCCAAGCAGACGCACAGAGATGTTTCAGCCAGACGATGATCATCATTTCAGGCCACTCCATGGAGGAGTTAGATCGAAAGGGTTTTAGAAAAAACGTGTTGTTCCCCACAGAGTTCCAACGATGCGCTCATTCCCATCAGGGATGGATAAAGTGCTGAGTGAAAAGTCTCAGTGTGAGAAGAGCTGGGGTGGAAAACCGCCCCACCCTCCCAGGTGACTGCTAAAAATATTTCTAAACCTCTTTGTCCTTCAGCTGCCTCTGGAGGTAATAACCGTGCCTACCTTTGAAGGTTATTTTTATAATCATTGATCACAGTGCCTGGAACCATCATGACTTAACGCTCTCTATTGTTAGTCTCTACTTAGCTTTGAAAAAGACAAAACGGCGAGGTCTTCGGGATAATTGGGACTAACGCACATGATCCGGAAATAGAATCTCCTTTCTGGAGCTCTGGATCACACTGTTGTGATCAGCACCGGGCATCGTTCACTCCTGGCTCGCTCTGTTTGCACCGGAAAGCCGAGGCGCTGTGCGGTTTTGCTGTCGCGGAGGATGTTTCCAGGTCATCGCGGGAGACGCCAGCCGCCCTGGCAGGAGCCTGCTCATGGGCGCAGCACTGAGGAGCTCGAGAACCGGAGGGCGGCTGGGAGGGCTCCTGCGCACTGGGCATGGGGCGCGGGCCGGGCGCGGGACACGGGGTGCGCACGCCCCCGCAGGAACGCGGGGACGAGCGAAGATCCCACTCCCGGAGCCAAGCGAGAGCTTGTCACGGCGAACCCCCAGGGCCAGAAGCGGCTCCCAGTGAGGCGCCGCCCACGCAGTTCCAGGCTCTCTGGCCGCTGTCCCGGACCCTCCCACCCCGTTGCGGGTTATTTGCACGAGGCGCGGTCGGCCACGGCCCGGTCGCCTAAAGACAGACCCCACAGCCGCCTGTGGGGCCCCCCACCTGGCTTTGTGGCCGCCCCCCGCTTCTCTGCTGCCTTCAGGTCGGCCTCACCGCGGCTGACTTCTAGGCGCCTGCGCCCAGACGGGCTTTCTCAACACACAGCTTTATGGGCTCGCCAGGGTCCATCTCAAGAAAGCGGGCGGCCAGGTAGCCACGGCTGACCGGAAGCCCCTTCTCCTGCGGGGTGGGGCGACGGCGGGCTGGGCAGTGCGCAAGGCCACTGCTTCCTGGCCTGTCGCCCCAGACCTGTGCCTGGGGCTCGGCACCCCGACAGCAGACGCCTGGCTCCCCAGGGGCGCGAGACGCGCCTGCTAGGCGCTGGCTGGGGACGCGCCGCCTGTGTCTGCTGTGAGGTCCTCGCGTCAGACCCGAGGCGCGGCGGGCCTCAGGCGGTGCCCAGGGGCAGGCCCGGAGCCTCAGAAGCTGGCTGACCTCTCCTGACTTTCAGGGCGGGGCTGCGGTGACCATGTCCTGCTGCCGAGCCGTGGACATTTGAAGGCGGCGCCAGAGTGGGCAGGAAACGGATGCTGTGGGCATCGAGGCGAGGAGAAAACCTCAAAACAAGGAAAGTGGAGCGATCTATCAAGGGGAACAGGTGGCGGTCTAGGGGAGGGAATGAGAAGGCCGCGGGGCGCACTGGGTGGCTCCGCCCGCTCCCGGGGAGCCCCGGCCGCAAGGCGGCGGCTGCTCTCACCTGCTTCGTTGGTGCGGATGAGGCGCGAGGGCGCGCTGGGGTCTCCGGTCCCGATGGGGTTGGTGGCCACGACTCTGAACTCGTATTCCACCCAGGGGCTCAGGTCCACCGCCATGGCTGACTCCATGTCCCCGGTTATGACTTCTGGGGCTGCAGGACACAGAGAGGACGGGTCACCGGGCGGGGCGTGTGCCGGGGCGCCCACTTCCCTGTGGCCATGGTCACGCCCCCTCCGGGCCCCGCGGGGAGCAGGCGCTTGCCCAGCCAAAGGCTGACGGGAAGTGGCCAGCCCTCGTGCGCCCATCGGCCAGACTGGCCACTGGCTGCGCGAAGGGCTCGCTGTGCGCCCTCAGTCCCAGAGAGGACAGCAGGGGTGCGGCAGCGTCCTGGAACGGCTAGGGAACTGTCCCGGGCAGTTTGCGCCCCAATTGTGGCAAGTACCTTTAGCCACTGTCCTGCTCCGGACAGCGGATGTGCGTCTCTACTGCTAATTTAAACTTTAGTCTCAAAGGCACAGACGCCGGTGCTAGACGAAGCCGTGGGACTTACGGCGGTACGAGGCTGCTCTAGCCGCGGCATGATTCTGAACCTGTGAGGGCCCTGACAGTGCTCGCAAGGTTTTCTTTTGTAATTTATTGCCACAATCTAGTAGGTCTAATTTGACCGCTAACCGTCCCCTTCTTTCAGTCCTTTGCAGGTGACTGTTGTCCTCGGGCCTGACTGCCTGTTCAGCCTCCACGCCGGCTTCCTTCCGTCACCCAGGTGCCGCCCAGTTCTGCCGGTCCTTTCCTGTGCCCCTACCCTGCGACCGTCTCACCCACTTTCATGGCTTTAAATGGCCTCTGTTTGCTGCTTGACTGTGGTCACGCCTCTGTTCCCAGGTTCCAGACGCGTGGCTCCGTGGCCTGGTCAGGTCAGCATCTCGGCTCAAATTCCCCAAACGACTGCAGTCCTCCACATGCGGTGAATGACAGCTGTTCTCGTGCAGCCAAAATCTCGGACTCGCCCCGGATCCCATCCTTTCTGCCGCCTCACTCCAATCTACAGTCCACGCGTGACAGCTGTAACTTCAGAGCTCAGTGCTTTTTCCACTCCCCGCTGGAGCGAAACTTCCTAGAAGAATCGTCTGCGTTGACTCTTGTCCCTCTCTCTCTCCCACCCCCTCTTACTCCACAGGCCGCGCTCTGGTCCGCAGTGACCACTCTCCCTTACTGGACACTGCGCAGCGCTCTCACCGCCAGTGACTCTCTTTCCAGCCTTTTGTCTTCCAGGACACGGGATGGTCGAGGTCCCCTTCGCCCAGCGGCGGCCTCGCCCTGTGTGGTCTAGATGTTTCCTCTTCTGTGTTGGAAAGCTCCAGAGTCCGCTTCAGACGTATGTCCTTGGGGAGGACGAGCCATTTCATGACTTTAAAGGCAGCAGTGTACAGGTCAACCGTTCCTTACATTTCTATCCTTAACCTCTGTAAGCTCTGGCCTCTTCTGAGCAGTGCTGGACATCACCGCTGGGAAGTCTCATCTGTGCGTCACCAGAAATGCCCTGAGCTGAGCTGCCCCCTCCCCCCCAATCAATTCCAACCACGTGGGCTTCTCCGTGTCGGCAGAAAGCCACCCCATCCTTGAGGTGATCAGAAAGTCAAAATCTTGTAGTCATCCTTGAATTAGTTCTCTCTTACCCTCCTCAACGCATTTTTTGAGGAAATCCCGTAGCACTCTCTTCCACATCTTGCCGAACGGACGAGGTCTGCCGCTACCATCCCGTCAGCCTGCAGTGCCACTGTCTGCACTACCACAGCTCCCTAGCCAGCTCGTGCGACTGAGTGACTCTGCGAAAGGGCAAATCTCAGAGCCACGCTCCAGCCTCTGCGCTTCTCTCTGCCTGGAAGCACGAGCCTGTGTGTCTCGGGCCCCAAGCTCTCTCCACACTCACCCCTGCCACCCTCAGCGCCTCTGCCCCTGCCTAAGTGGCCTCTGGCTCCTGCTCAGCGCGCTGCGACGGCCGACAGGCCTGGGCTGTTCTCCAGCCGGAAGTGTGAATCCACATAATATGTTCCCTCAGCCGTGCCGCTCACTGAGGCTTCACTTGCCCTCTCTATAACCGCCCCAGCCTGTTGTGGCCTGAGCCGCGAGCCCGCCCGGTGCTGAGCCGTGCGCCCGCCTAGTGAGTGTTTCGAAGAGCCGTCATCCCTGAGGGTCGGGCTGGGGAGTGGCGTCCCGAGGAAGTCATCACGGTCTGGAGAAGTCCTGGGGCGAGGCCTTAACCTGGTGGTGTTAGTGTTCGTAAAAGAGACGCCAGGCAGCTGACCGACTTCCTCCCCTGCGGAGGCTTCATCTGTCACCTGGAGGACACTGACCAGGACTCAGATCTTCTGGCTCCTAGATGTGGAGTTCCTCATTGCCGGATTTGTCATAAGATACATTATTGTAGCTTAGGCCTCTCAGGGTGTGAGAGCAACCCAAACCGACTGGCACACACCCACAGAGCTCTGCCGGCTATCCTGACATACTCTTTTTATTCTCTGTTCATTAAATTCCAAGATGGGATTTATTGGATAGACGCTCATAAAGGCCTCTATCATTTGTTCTCATCCATGAGCAGACAGCCTATACGAGGGTCATTACCTAGGCTCTGACCTATTGCAGGTGCCTAGAACACTACCAGAGGTGTTCAGTCCGCTTCTAGAGAGTGAATGAAAGAACGGTAAGTTCGAATCACCAGCTGTGATCATCTGGTGTGGTTAATCTGTTTTAATCTTGATGGCATTACCTCAGGCATTCTGTTAAAAAAAAAAATACTGTAATATATAAAATGAGCCTGCCTCCCTAGGCTGCATATAATTCTATCGTCTCCAACATACTACAGGGTTTGAAGACCCTGCCAGGTTCAGGTTCATACCCTCTTTACCATCCCCAAATCTAATTCCTTTTTTAAAAGGAAAAAAGAATTTTTGAATTTCTGACTCACCGATAACCTTAAAAGAGCTGCAAAAGAGTTGTAAAGGCATGCATTGGAAGTATTAATACTTTCAAAATCCTATGCCGGGTGAAAAAAATAAAAATAAGCTTTCAGATGAACACAGGATTTTCATTTAAAATGCAGAGTCTAGTGCTGATGGAGAGTTGAGACCCAAGTAAGTCTCCGTGTTTCATCATTAATTTCAATACTAATCTCCATAGTAGATGCTCATCCACCGTTATTTTCCAGCCTTTTAACTGGGGCGCACGAGGATGCTCCCCTGTGGCAAGGCACCCGCGCCAGTCACACCTAGCCGCGAACCGCAGTCCCTGTGCGTCTCTTTTATAGCTCTGCAGACCTCTTCCATCACGGCACCTTTATGCAGAACGGCGAGGATAGCGAGGTTTCACAGAAAACATTGCTCCCGAGAGGCAGCCACCAGATTCTTGGGTTTTGAAAAAGAAGCAAACGTTGCTTAACATGTTCCGAGAGTGACACAGCGGAGTTCCGGCACCCAGACTGGCCCGCTGCCCCCCAGCACACGCCGCCCGCCCAGAGGCTGCGTCTGGGCCCATGTGGCCTGGGGCCCTCACCTGTCCTGACCGTCTGCCAGCCCAGGGAGAAGGGGCTGCGGGCTTGCAGGTTGTAGCAGGACACTGGGCTGTGGTTGTCAGCTGCGGGGCTCCAGGAGAGCGTGGCTGTGCTGTCTGTGATCTCCTCGACGATCACGATGCCCGGCGGGCCTGGGGGACCTAGAGGCGAGAGGGGTAGACCCAGTTAAGGAAAGCGAAGGCAGGAAGCAACAGAACTTGTATTTCCAGTGAGGACCTGATCAAAGTATGTAATTGTCCTAATGAAATACATATTTAGTAATGAACATTGCCTGTAAAAAGTCAGGGGATGCAAGCTGATTTTCCTGATTTCTGGGGGGTAACTTAATGACAAATTTGATTTCCTCCCGTAACATTCTCAGCTTGGAGGCAGCTACCAATGAGCACTCTATTTTATAGGAACGATTAGAAGCACACAGGACATGCAAGCCAACCATGGCTGATGGAATCAGTCATCGCTTACGGAGGCAGGGCCAGAGGGAGAGGCTGTGTGAGAGGAGAAGTCAGCGCTTCACCAGGCAGTGACAGGCACGGGGCCGAACGCTCGGGCTGTCTACGCTGTCGGGACTGTGGTGTGAGCGAGAGGCCCAAACTCCCGGGGGTAGGAAAGGCTCCAAGGTGACAGTGCAGGCCAGGGGGTGGCATGTGTGAGACATGGGCAACCTTCATGGAGGGCTAAAAGCAAGATGCGGTTAAATTCTTTCCCCCAGTGGGAGGAGGAGAAAGGTGAGAGAGGTTTTGCTCCCCTTAGCATCATGGACGGTTGGCACAGAGTACTGTTGGCCAAGCTGTGTGCATGTAGTCTCTGGCTTCAAGAAATGCTCATATTCTAGTACGAGGAGAAACAGACCCTGGCGTCACTGCTTCTCAAACAACGATGCCAAAGGTGCGCGGAGTTGTGCACATTCCAGTGACTGACAAGAGGCCGATTTCCTCACTGATGTTTTTCTGTTCTCTAATCTGGACAACTCTAACTGCAAAGATGTTTTTATTTGAATGAAAAAAACCCCACGCTGTCCAGTATTTTACGGTGTCATTTTCCCCCCCAGCTGTGGGGAACAGTTGCTTTCTGGATGCGGAGATCCTGAAGTCTGAGTCTGGGCTGCCCTGGTCAGCCAGACACAACACTCGTGGGGGTCTGGGCAGCACAGTGAGCCCCAACAGGAAGGGGCCACACGATGGAGAACAGAGCAGAGCTTGTGAAGCAAACGCCAGTTTTAGGAAATGAGAAATGAGTATTTTATCAAGTCCGAGAAGAGCAAGAAGGCGTCGCAGAGACATGGGCTTAGAAGACGGCGGTGATTCCTGACGACGGCAGCCCGGGTCTGACCGAGGGCGGAGAGACAAGCTTGTGGGCAGAGCTGGCAGCTGTCTCTCCAAGAGGGATGAAGGAAGAAACACTGGAAAGAGAGCTTCTGGAGCTCACGAAAAGACAGTGTCCCAGAGGAAACGGGGTTATTATGCGGGGGAGATAGAAGAATTCAACCCCACAATGGGGGAGGGTTCAGAATTTGTGATGTGGGTAGAAGACACTTTTGAGTGAAAATTTGCGTTTATCTGGAGAGAAGTGGAGAACGAGATTGCTGGAATTGATGAGGTCAGGGGCCTGTGGGACGCTGGTCTGATGCGTCTCCAGGAGGGATGTTCCTCGCTTCAAACAGTGGGTAGGATGAGGTGAAGAGAAGGAGTGACGTCCCAGGGCCGAGGGGATTCCTGACAAGTTTTAGACCGCTGAGACAGGAGTATGGACCGTGACAATGACGAAACATTGACTTGAATAACGGATGATGGGTATAATCCTGTGCTCACTGAGCCAAGGCCCTGTCCCCAGCATTCTGCACTTGTGACTATTCATTCACGTCTATGTCACTGTCAGGGACACCACCCGCGGTCATTCTTTACCACTGCTTGAAGCGCTGACCATTCCTCCTGAAGATGTGTCAGACCGGCCTCCCGCATAGTACCAATTTAATAGAGATTGTTTAGTAAAGATAATGCCAGCCATTTTCGTGAGTAATCTTATTATTTGCGAGGTGTGGTGCCAGGCAGTGGCAGGCGAGAGCCCATTTCAGCGGGAAGCTGTTTGCCCAAGTTACTCATCTAGTGAGTGTGAGGCTGGGATTTGGACTTGCACCTGAGAACAGTCTGCTTGGCCGGGGTGCGAGTATAGAGACCTGTCTTTGATCATTGACTGGGCAGGTAAGGAAGAGCTGGCGTGTGCCAGGAACAGGCACCTGACTCCTGTGGCAGCGACGGGACGGGGCGCTGGGCCATTGCCTCAGGGAGTCACCGACCTGGAATGGGGCCGTGACCCACTTAAAGGGTGATGGTGAAGAGACCCTGTGTGGCCTGGAGGTCAGGCTCATCCCAGGGCTCCGGAAGCGTGCACAGGGAAGCCAGCTCCCAGGTCGGAAGATTAGGCCGGGGGCTGCCTCTCTGTGAGGAAGCCCAAGACCTTTGGAGATGGGGGGACCCCACTAGCCCCCACCACTGAGTCAACCCAGCCCAGCTCCAGATAGGCGAGGGAGGGAGACTTCACATGACTGCCCTACTGCCCTGTGAGGCTCAGGAGCAGGAGAGAAGGAAGAGAGGAACGTGGGGCTGTCAGCTGCTGAAGCCCCGGAACAAACAGCAGATGGCTGTGTGAAGCAGCTGAGTTTTGGGTACGGCCGCGGGTGACTGGAAGAGACTTGAGGATAGCTGGGGCTTGTGCAGACAGGGCTCTGTCACCAGGGGCTACAAGATGGCGTGGAAAGAGAACGGTTAGCAACTACGTTCAAATGGGAGTGACTGTCAATATAATAATTGATGAAGCTCTTGTACATCGTTTCACTTAACCCAAGCTGCTTATTTAGCTCTCCCGAAGCCTCCAGCAACCCAGTGTGTGAGGCCTTGTGGGAGACACTGAGCGAAGTAACTGCTCATTCCAAGAAAACCAATTACTTCCTGTTGTATTCCACGAAAATGCTTTAATTATAAAAGGAGGTCTATTTCTTTCAAGAACGGGTAATAATTACTCTAGAATTTTTTCTAAAAGATGTCATCTGGAGCCAAAAATGGAATTTACAATACAATTAACAAAGTCCCAAGTATTTTCCCCTATATGTAACTGTTCTCCCACATACAGTCATGAGCAAAATAATCAGTGAGAGCATAAAAAAAAAAAAAAATTGTGTACCTGGGATTCTGATTTTTACTGTGCAATTATTTATAATTACAAACCACTGTAAATACCTAATTGTCCAATAATCATGTAATGTTTAAAGCATAAACTCTTACAAAATATTAGGCAGACACTTAACTGCTAAATATTTGACACTGTCTAATGAATGAATGTTTCTAAAGTACAACAGAAGAAAAAAGACACAGAAAATTACATAATTGTAAATATACAAGTAATAATTGCCAAATTTGCAAAAAAAAGACTGGAAAGAAACACATTCCTGTGTATGAGGTGGTTAATGCTGAGAAGTGAGGACATAATTTAAATCTTTTTCTTTAGACCTGGTGTTCCTGTTTTGTAGCATGACTATTTCTTCCACAATAATTTTTAAATGTCATATTGTAAAGAAAGCGTCCACACTGTGACACCTACGTGCTCGCTTAAGTCCGTTCTGTGTAAGTAAACATCCCAGAATGCCTAGCATTTGTAAAGCGCTGGTCTGAGAGATGGGAGATGGGATGGGGGTGGGGTGAGTTCTAGGACAAGGCAGGCCCCAGCCCCAGCTGTGCTCAGACCCAGTGGCAGAGGCACATCTTTGACAAAAACAAACGCCAGTTCATGGTCATGTAACGTTCAAGTACTTAGGAGTATTTTCACATCTCATTCTAGGACTTGTGATTTTGGCTATAACTATTGGTAATTTCCATTTGTCTGAATATCTGAAAGGATGTTTACATGTATCTATCTATCCATCTATCTGTCTGTCTGTCTGTCTGCCTATCATCTATTATCTATCTATCTACCTATCCATCCATCTATGCATCCATCCATCCATTCACCCATCCATCTATCCATCTGTCTATCTATCTATCTATCCATCTATCCATTTATCTATCTATCTACCTATCACAGATAGATACTTGGAAGATAAATGGAAGAAGGGTGAGGACAGCAGGAAAAAGGCTGACAGGAAGGGAGAACAGGAGGACACGAGTTTTGAATCTGGAAAGTTGTATAACAAATGAAAGAACGTTCCAAAATAAGGTCCTTGTTATATGAGCCGAGATGCAGTATGATAGCCTCTTATTTTTTCTTAAGTCCAAACACATTTGCATGGCAGTGTCTTTCAGTGAAGCTGGACGGTCACAGCAAGGACAGAACAGCTTCATGATGAAGAATAAACCTTTGTATGATTGAATAATAAAGCTCTTCATTGTTAGAAACAGAGCATGAAAACCTACAGACAGATGATTCTTCTAAATCCTGGTAAGTGTCAAAGATTTATGATGAGAATGTTCCTGTAAAGATATTCTAAAATTAATGATGTGGTTTATCTTTTAAAGTCAGATTAAATGCAACTCTCAAGTATAATAAAAGTGAAAACATGATTTATTACCATTATATTAATATTAGTTTATCAATGCTCTCTTGATGGAGAAAAATATGTTTACACATTGCACACTGACTATTGTGCAGTTTCAGTTTTCTTCCTGTTTATATTTAGGAGTGAACTACTAATAGTATAGTAGTTGAATCAACATATTGTTTGTAAGGCCAGTGAACGATAGCAGTATTGTTGCCAACTTTTGACTTTTTCAATGAGGGAGTAAATTTTCCCCTCAATGTCTTTCACAGCTAATTTATACATGACACCTTTGAGAAATAGGTTAATAAGAGACAAGTGCCTTACATAAGACAAAAGTGGCCAGTGTTATACAGACGCCACTCATTGAACAGAAATCTCATCAATTTTGTATTTAGCTGTAATGACTCAGTGCCAGATGGGCATAAAGTGGGAAAGTTCTCACCTTTCTGGGATAGTGCTGTTATGTATAAACATTGAGATAAACACTGCATTTGAAAATAGCAATTTGGAAAAAAATGTTCATAGGCTCTTCATCTCTTCCTGGTGAGGCTAGCTAAGCAAATGGCAGACTACAAAAGCCCCAAGAAGTTATGTTCTCATAAATTCAAACTG